TATCTATCTATCTATCTATCTATCTATCTATCTATCTATCTATCTATTCAATCTATCTATTCTATTCTATTCTATTCTATTCTATTCTATTCTATATTCTATATATCTATTCTCTATCATCTGTCTGTCTATCTATCTATCTATCTCTTTCTATCTATCCATTCCACATCTCTATCTATTCTAGGGGTCTTCAAACTTGACAGCTTTAAGACTTGTGGGCTTCAACTCCCAGAATTCCTTCTCCAGTCACATTAGCTTAGGAATTCGGGGAGTTGAAGTCCACAAGTCTTAACCTTGCCAAGTTTGACATAAGTTTGAGTAATGGATGGAAATTAATCAAGGAGTAAATCAATCAATGATCTAAGAATTTTCCTGATAGTTAAATATACTGCCTGGATGATTGGGTGTTCATTGGCATATTCCTGGCAGTTAGAACAATCAATCAGTGGAAAGAGTTGCCCCCAGAAGCTGTGGGTGCTCCATCAGTGTGTTTTCAGAAGGGATTGGACAACCATTTGTCTGAAATGTTGTAGGCTTTCTGCTTTGAGTGGGGAGTTGGACTAAAAGACCTTCCAGCTCTGTTCTGTCACCAGAACCTTGAGGAATTGCTGTCTTTAAGATTATTTCTTTACAGTCTTTGATTTATGTGGGTAAAATGAGGACCCAAATTGTTGGGGGCAATAGGCTGACTCTGTAAACCGCTTTGAGAGGGCACTATAAAGCGGTATATAAGTCTAAGTGCTATTGCCATTACCTCCTCACTAGCAATCAACGGCCCATTGGACTAAAGTTAACACCAAGATTAACACCAGATCAACAATCAACAAGTATAAAATACCCCAATCAAGGAAGTACAAACACAGACAAACAAGCTAACAGTAAACAACAGCCTAATCAAGGAACCACCAAGACCACTCCCACCAATAATGATAGGCCGAGCTACTAGTATATAAAAACAACTTCAAACCTCACTCCCTTGTAGCACTGATGATATTACCTAGTTGGGTAATGAAATGTGTACAGGAAACCACCAAATTCAGAGAACACCCAGGGATCCCCCAATTATTTGCTGCCTCCATCATTCAAGGGAGTCTAGGCGGCACACAATATACTGAAACAAGTAAAAAGCATTCTATCAGGGAAGGAAATGTCAAGAACCAAGGCATAATGTCGCCCCGCCCCAGAGCCTGTAGGATAAATGTTTGGGATGTTTGACTTTGGAGAGATGCAAAGTTTGCATGGCAGCAATTTTGAGAGCTACCTTTGAGCAATACCTGGCTAGCTGCAGAAACAAAGCATGATGAGGACTCTGGATGGAGGACCACAGGACATGCCAAGGTTTTAGAGTAGAACAGGGGTCTCCAGCCCCCAGTTCGTGGACCAGAACTGGGCCGCATAAACAAGCACACAAAACCCCGCCCCCCTCCAGTTCATGGGTTAGATAGATTCTGTTTTTTTAAGTAAACCACTTCCATATTGCTCTCAAGAAGAGTACTATACATGGATAGTTCTATAAAGTCTAGGAAGAGCCAGTTTGGTATACATTACAATACTAGTTAAGGTGTTCGCCTATAAACCAGGATACTCTTTGAGTTCTAATCCTGCCTTTGGCATGAAAAACGCTGGGTGACTGGCTTAGGGTTATGGTTAGGCCAATTGACTTCATAGGGTTGTTGCTATGGGTAAAATAGGAAGAGGAAGGAGTGTTTGGTATGCTTGCTGCCTTGAGTTGTATATGTAAAAAAAAAGCAGGATAAAAATCTAAACAAAATCAGTCATCAGAAACGGAGAATGACTCAGAGAAGAATGGCCTACCATGAGAACGATGTTGGGATCCAATCACATGTGAATAAATCATCCTCCCTTTCCCAAAAGCCAGCAAGCCAGACGCAAAAACAAAGATCTTGCAAGAATACAAAGTTGAAATGCACTGGACTGGTAAGATAGCATAATTAGTTCAAGGAATACTAGTGGGCATTTAGCAACAAGAATGGATCTTAAGTATAAAAACATCAACATTAATACAAATAGTTCATTTTTCATTTGAATCTTATTTGGAAAGGAAGCATACCTAACCTGGAGCCAGTACTCTCTGCTTTCACCTTGGGTTGTCAGCTTGGTGCCTCTCTTGGATGAGATGGTCTGTTCAGATTTGTTTGTCCTATTGAATACATAAAAACAAATACTTTATTTTTAGGCACAGCAGCATGTACCTCTATGTTGCTTTTCTATCGTGCTTTGCTAAATACTTAAGGAGCTTGGAACTTTGGGCATATGGCAGACTGATAAGTTCATAGGCCATTTCTAAGGCAGATAAGCAAATAGTTCATGACAGCTTAGGATAT